AAAGATTAACACAAGAAATTAAACAGCTTAGAAATCAAATGGCTGCGGAGCAGAAAGAGTATAAAATGGCCATCTCGTCAATGAAAATCAAATTAGAAAATGCAATTAAGAAAATACAAAACCCAGGGTCGATAGGCGACCCCATCGAGGGCAATAAAGAGGCGCGAGAGCTTCTAGCCAACATGAAGAATAGTGCACAAACGAGTGCAGAAACGATAGACGAAGACTCGTTCGCTACTCAATCAGAAAGCAGTGAACTAGTAAAGCAAGTGCAGACGCGTGTTCAAGCAAACAGGGAAAGCATAGCTACTTTACATAAACTTCTAGGTGATTTCATGGCGGAAATGAAAATGTTTGCCGTAGAAGAACAGAAAATTCAGAGGCAGTATGTTAACGATGCTGTGGGAGGCTTGCAGAGGGCACTAAACAAACGCTCCATGTCCGCCCCAGTTATTGACAAACCATCCAAAGCCGGCCGTGACAGCATGGATACGACCATGCAGCATGGCCAAAAATAATATATAAAGTGTAGAACATTTAGAGATTTGGCAGTGGAACTGTCGCACTTTTTACAAGCGCGCCACAGCACTCCAAAATCACATGAACTCGGTACTAATTCAGCCAGACGTAATATGCCTGAAGGAGGTTGGGGTTAAGATGGTCAAACTGCAGGGATATTATTGTTTACAAGATCCAAATTATCCCCACGTAGCCTCGCTGGTTAGCAAAAGTATTGCAGCAAAGGTTGAGCACATAGAAAGTTTGCGGATAAATCATCAGATAATCACCCTCCTTCCTCTGAAGAGAGGCAAAGTGAAAACCGTAATATTAAATATATACAGCCCTCCCGAAGAGAAACACGAGGACTTTGGTGCACTGCTTAAAAATGTCGTCGGTATTGCAGGGGCGAAAGATCGACTTGTGGTATTGGGCGACTTTAACGCACCCAGCACCACATGGGGCTATTCGAGAGATTTCCCTAAGGGAACGCGTCTCGAACACGCCGTATCCTAACTAGGATTGAGCTTAATTACTCTACCCACCGGGTTAACTGGCGGAACATGGGAGAGGCCTTTGTCCTGCAGTGGACGTAGTCAGGCTGATGATGATGATGACTCTACCCACAACACCTACGAGGCTGGGTAACAGCGTAAGTCGAGACACGTTCCCAGACACGTTCCCAGATCTGACCTTCACACGTAATATTAACGATGCTAACTGGACAAACCTGGAAGAGAATCTCGACAGCGATCACTACATAATCAGTATTTCCCTCTCAACTCCGAAACTACGCAGAGTCATAGGAGACGTGGTGATCACTGACTGGGAAAGGTACAGACGACGTGATCCCCCACCCGACTCTGTACCGGAGTTGATTGGGGAATGGTCAGAGCACATAATCTCAGTTCACAAACATCTAAACGTATCGCAAGAACAGCGCAGACTCCTGCAGTTGACAGGCACCTGCTCCACCTGTGGAAGAGCAGGCGCCGTATGCTGAAAAGGTGGAAAAACCAGCGACTCAACCGAAACCTTCTCCGCAGAATCTCTGCTTTAGGAGAGGAGGCAAATCAATACGCTAACAAAATTGCAACTGAGGGATGGATCCAGTTCTGCAGTTCACTACAGGACACTCTGAGCACTGCAAAAACTTGGGCCATCCTAAGGAACATGTTTGACCCAGAAAAATGAAAATCGGCCGCAAACAGAACACTACAACGAATAATGCATGATTTTCCGGGCACAGGAGTTAGTACAAGCACTTAAGGACAGATACATAGGAGAGAATACCGATAGTTGCAGTATTGAAATGCAGTACACTGGTGCGAAAAACGAGAGACTCGACGCCCCAACCACCAAAGAAGAGGTCTTTGCGGCTGCCCAAGCAGCCAAGAGAAATTCTGCCCCTGGTTCAGATCAAATCACAAATGCAATGATAAGGAACCTCAGCGATAAGGTTATAGAGGCACTGACAAACCATTTTAATGACAACTATTAGCCCAAAGGGAAGATACCCGAGGAATGGAAAGTAGCCAAAATTATTACGATACCTGCAGGCATTCAGGCCTATATCTTTGACGTCATGTATGGGAAAGCTTTTCGAAAGGGTTATTCATAATCGGCTCCAAAACTTTATAGAGGACAACGCCCTTTTTCCAGCCAATATGCTGGGTTTTCGCAGTGGCCTCTCCACTGAAGACGCATTTCTCCTATTACAAGAGGAAGTTTTGAGCTATATACCTACAGGAGGAGAACATCTAATACTAGCCCTTGACTTAAAAGAAGCATTCGACAATATCTCGCATAAGGCCATCCTAACAGAATTAAACATCGGATGTGGGACAAACACCTACAATTACATCAAGGCATTCCTCACAGAAAGGCGGGCTTCAATAAGCATAGCACAAGTCACGTCAGACGCTTTTGAGATGCCAAACAAAGGTACCCCTCAAGGAGCCATCCTCTCTCCCTTGCTCTTTAATATCACCATGTTAGGACTCACGCGAGCTCTGGATGAAGTTCCGCAGTTAGGATACACTCTCTATGCGGATGATATCACCCTATGGGCAATGCGTGGATCTCTGGCTAACAAAGAGCAGACACTTCAAGAGGCTGCAACAGCAGTTGAAAACTTTGCGAAGGCAAGCGGGCTCAGCTGTGCCTAAGAAATATCTGAAATTATCAGGGTACATGTAAAAAGATACAAAAGTAACGGAAGCATCGACATACACATCGAAGGTGTCAAAGTACGTGAGGTAACCGTCGCATGTATTCTGGGTTACTAGGTTCAAAGTAATGGACGAGCGAACCGTACAATAAACATATTAAAATCGGCCACGAAACAAGTTGCACGAATGATACATAGACTAACATACCACAAACAGGGAATGAAGGAAGGAGACACAATTAGATTAGTACAGGCACTTGTATTGTGTAGGGTTACGTATAGTCTACCTTTCCACATGTTAAACAAATCAGAAGAAGAAACCATCGAGTCTATAATTAGGGGCGCCTACAAAGTGGCCATAGGGCTACCGGTAAGCACACCAACACAAAAGCTTTTGGACCTCAGTATATATAATACATACCGCGAGCTAAAGACAGCGGTACTGACTGCGCAGAGAAATCGTCTAAGTCAAACGAAAGCGGGGAGAGAGATACTTGCTAAGGTGGGCTTTCCGCCATACCCCCAGAACCTCGACGAGGTTCTTGTAGAAATCCCGGATCCCGTCTGCAGCAAGATCTCGATCTCACCGCTGACCAAGAACATGGACGTAAAAACAAACAGAAAGCGCAGAGAGGAGAGAGTGCGATGGCTCCGAAAAACATTTAAAAACAAATCAAATGTCTTGTATGTGGACGCTTCGAGGTACAATTTTAAACTGTCAGTTGCATCAGTACTTAGCAACGACAACTGCATGGTGACATGTGCATCGCTGTACGCGTCCTCGATCACCAAGGCGGAATGCTTTGCCATTGCCCTTGCAATCAAAGCACAGGAACAAAGAGATGAACCGCAGACAACTATCATTTCTGACTCGCAGGAAGCGTGCCGTTTCTTTTTAAGAGGCCGCCTTCCCATAAAAATAAGCAATTTCTTAGGCGGGAGATTGACGAACAAATACAGGCTGATCTGGTGTCTAGGACACGCAGGCCTGGAGGGGAACGAAAATGCTGACGCTTGTGCTCAAGGGCTCACGAACCGAGCAGAGCTTCGACAGCACATTCAATCCTTTGAAACACTCCAGGAGGAAGCTATCGACGAGGGTAACAACCCATCCAGAATGGCCCCTCGCGAAATTCTTGCTAACCAACGAGGCATGCGACAAAAATACAGCGCCCCCCACAAATCATTAGAAGGGGAGGACGCGATTGACCTCCGCCAAATTCAAACGGGAGTCTTTCCCAATCTTCAAAGATTACACAAAATTTTTCCAACGCTGTACGGGCATGCGTGTCCGTGGTATGGCGGCTCACCATCGCTCTACCACATTTCGTGGGGATGCCTAAAACGACCACCAAATCTAGATACCGTTTCAGGTCAGTACAAGCTCTGTAATACTTTCGAGCAATGGGAGGCACAGCTCGCCAGCTCTGACCCAGAGGTGCAGCTTGCACTTCTGCGTCACGTCAGACAGGCGGCGGCAGCCAGTGGAGCCCTATACTTGGGGCCCCACCCATCAAGCTCATGACCCCTGTCCCAAACCCTTGACAATAAAGTTTTTCCTTCCTTTCTTCCTGCGCCCTCTCGCGGTAGCCGAGCGCGCGAGGCAATACTCATTTATTTTGCTAAGGAGCGCGGCGATTGGGACGGCCTGTGAGAAACCAACAACACCTAGACTGTGGTGTTGAAGAAACACGCCGCACACCCGCCATCTCGGAGGCCACGTTCTAACGAGCTGAGCTTAGTGAAGGAAAGAGCGAAGCGATCGAGGGCCTCCTTCGTATCATCAAACGCTTGTAGCTCCGCTATTATGACCCCATTTCGAAATATTCTCACGGCTAGTTTGTTGTTGACTCGCACATGAATATAACACAACTAAATTTCGACCTCCAGGTGGTTTAGGACCTTTAACACACATCACAAAAACAAGCAAGGCCATGCGCCAATGGTCACAGAGACATATGTACACACAAGGCTTGCAAGTTATATGCAAAAAGTGGCCGGTGCAATACAGCCCAGCCATCAAGTCCAATGATGATTATAAATAAGCCCCACTTCTGAACCATATATGGTAAAAATATACGACGCAAATGCCCCAACATTAACTTTAGATGTGATTAACTTTGAATACATGTTCAATTTCCAAGACAGCTTACTGGGCACCTACAGCCAATTCATTACACTGTTTCATTTCACTGTCACATGGACTGTGTGATTCATGGAATGACAGATGCAAAATAGACAAGGGTAGAGCCAGGGCCAAACGTCAGTCCAGCACACCAGGCATCGTACCAAAGGCATTTGAAGCATTGCTGCAACAGCAGCCAGTCAGGCAGACCTTTTGTGTTCAGGTTTATCGTCAAGTAAAAACAGACAAGTGCGCAAAAGTTACACAACAAACACAATGTCTTTCTTTCTTAGAATACAAAAAAAAATCCAACAGTTGAGCCTACTTGGGTACGGAAACACCACCTGTTTTTGTCTTTTTTGCGTTTTTCCTCTGCATTTTTTTTCTTCTAAAAGTCACCTGAATCTGTACAAGATACGGAGTGGAGAAAAATGCAGTACAGAAAAGAAACGCAGATGAAGGAAGATACGGGTTGAGACACACTGCAAATTAACCACACAGCGCCATCCTATTCAGCGCCTCCCCCGCCCTCCCTTGCACACACACATTCACATGCGCACATTTGTCCTAGTTAAAAAAATTTCAACATTTCAGAAATTGCACACTATGCCCAGCGAGTCCAGGGACGGACAATGATTTTGCCTATGACTGGATGCGTGTACTGAGGCAAGGGCACCCTGGAGACGCTGAAGAAAAAAAAGGGGGGAGAATTCAGGGAAAGGGAAATGCTCACCCCACACAGGAAGACATGCAACCTTGTGTAGCGCACTAGATAATGAAACCCCAATGGTAGCAGCCACTTTAGTGGCAATTTGTTGTGTCACCCGATCTCACCTCGCAACATCATTATTAATGAGAAGATAATTGCAAGAAACACCACAAATAAGGTAAAAAAGGGGGGTTCTAAGCTGGAATTATGCCACTAATGACCACAATCAAGTCGACCCCTTGATTTATTTTTTTCTTGTTTTTACTGAGGTGCGATTACGAAAAAAAAAGGAGGCCTGAATGGGTTCCACTTATCAGCTGTGTCCCTAGAAACCCCCATCTTCCTGAAGCCCATTGCAGGATGCTCTATGGTGCCCTCCACTCACTAAAACTGCGAGCCACCACGCCATTGTTATATATATATACACAGTCGCAGAAATGCACACTGATCACTGGTGTGGAGGGTGAGGAAGAAGCGCAAACAATTAAAAATAATAATAAAACCTTAAAGCAATTGATTCTGTGGCCAGAGAAGCAAATGGAAGCACTACCATGAGCAAAATGGAAGCAGTTTTTAAACGGGTGTAGCACAGTGGCCAGCAGTGTAGAATGGCATCTAAAAATGGCCCATTGGAGTGTTTCACGTCCGTGCGGTTGGTTCAACAACTGCAATGCGGCTTTTGTCCATTGATGAAATGAAGTGAGAAGAGGGGGTGCCACAAGTCTGGCCACATTGCTCCAACTAAATTCAGATGTCTAAAATGATGTCCCACAGCATTGCATGTGTAGAGGAAAACAATACTCCAATAAAGTGCTAACAAACCTTCAAATATTTGCTAAGCTCTTCAAGACTAAACCTATACACACTAATCTAACATGTTTTTTTCTCTCCAACAAAACTCGGCATAGCACTCTGGTCTCAGTGCACCAAAAACACTGAAGACAGATTGCTCCAAGCAATTCAGATTGCAGCATAGAACAAAATGAAATGAACTAGAAGAGAGAGATAGAGGCCATTGGGAGGGGCTCAATGCCATCTGATAAAACTGTAGTAGGCTTTTGCCATACTGAATTAAGCAAGTGTGAAATTCCAGTAGCATAGCGCAGGGAATATGTCCCTTGAGAGAGGCGCTCTTGGGACCAGGTGCAGACAAGACGCACAATGCCAACAATGCTAACCCACAGCAGCAGGCACAGTATTGCGTCCAGGCAGGTGTGTGCACAGGGCCGCCCAGAGTTCCACGCTCGGCAGCTCCACTCTTTTGCAGCTCCTTGTAGCAGTACGGTGAGGCCACTCTGCCAATAACTTGACAATTGCTTACACATAATGGCCAAGGACATAATACTTGACAGCTGTCATAAATTGCCATATTTCAGTCAAACAGAGACAGCCTACACACCTGACATTCATGGCTTAGGCAAGGCGTCCTTCCATTTGAAAGGAAAAGGTGGCAAGAACAAATGTGTACACACACCACCAAGAACAGAAAAAAAAGTATGGACTAAAACAATTGTCAATAACAAAATGAGGCCTGTTAAACAATTAAAAGCAAGGCACTGTAATGCTTGTGAGCAAAAGCTGCCAAATGCCCAAACTGAAATGTGGTGAGAAGTCAGAGAAACATCTGTCCAGAGAGAACACATAAACCACTAGCAATGGTGCAATTGCAAACGACAATGTACAGTAATGCCCACATGGGGAGGATTCACTCCTGGGAGCTCTTCAGTTTGTGTTTGGCCACTCTAAATATGTGCTCCTTACTTTGCCCTCCATCAGGCCAACTGCACAGTTCGTGCTTCTAACCACCACTTACAAGTCTAAAAACAACTCAATAATTTAAAAATAGCACTAAAAATCACGAAAACACACAACCATTATGCTGAATATGCCTACTTACAACAAGAAAACACACAAAAACAAAATAGACAGAACATTTGCCCCTTCTATTCTATCCTCAAACATTACAATGCCCAACCAGATTTCTTCAAAAACTTAAAGCAAGTCTTAGAAAAAAAAAGCAGCTAAAAACAGTTTGGCAGCAAATAGTATTTCACCACAGAGTGCAACCAAGAGCAAGTCCCAGCACAAGAGGGAACACCACCAGACTGTTAGTGGGTAAGCAATTTGGCCAAGAAAATACATCCCTCAAGGAGTCTTCATGCACAGTGTGTGTCCCCCCCCCCCTCGCTCCCAGCAGGGCTGGCGATATGCCAAACAAAGGCAGTGATTAAGACACTCCACAGAACCCGGGGGGAGAGAGAGTAAACGCTTTTCTAGCTGGCGCCAAGACTAACGCAGTGTGTGTGTGTGTGTGTGTGGCAGTGCACGCCAGACACGCTCAAGTGCCAAACTAGAAAGAGGGAAGTGTGGGGGGCAGGGTGTTGAGGAGCGCAGCAGCGTCCGGCTGAGGTTGTGAGGCCGTAACAAAACACAACAGCGCACAAAAACAAAGAAGGTAACGGCTGCACCAGAACTTTCTTTAAGCACTTTCACTCACTCACACAGTCACTTGCATACACGCAACACAGTAAAATGGAGGGCCGGGCTTTGACTGTTCTGTACGAGGAGAGAAAGAAAAGACTAGAGGAGAAAAACAGAAGGGGAGGGGAGGGCCAAGCGCACATCACAAGAGCTCGTACTGGCGAAGGTGCATCCTTTGGATGATGTCTCGGCAGTCGTTGAAAACGCGACGGATATTCTCCGTGTCCACGGCACAGGTGAAGTGTGGGTAGCAGTAGTGCTTGCCATCTCCACTGGCTGTGCTGATGCGCTGCAAAGACAATCGCATTAATTGGTACCAGTGCACGAGTGTCCAAATATAAATCCAAGCAGCAACAGAATTCAAAACTGGCATGAACCCTGCAAGTTCACCCAAAATGAACTAGACAGCTTTATTTTTCCACAAACTTTTACTGTTGTTGATTATACTGTGCAAAGCAGGAACCAAAGAAGGCTAGGGAAACAGACGTAGCAAATACCAAAGTACCAAATTTAAACCTGAGAAACCTTGCTCATGTTTTTCAGCTGTATCATTTTGGGGCACAAAAAAAAGTGCCATGCTTATGTTGCACGCACATTAGGTGTGTGAAAAGAGCATGGTGTTTAGATGGAGTGAAAGCACCCTGGACACTTTTCATTGTCTTTCTCCATTTGGTGTAACAGTGCCTTCTGCAAAGAGGAAGGAGAGCGAGGAGAATTATGGATGGCTGGTAAAACCAACACGTGACAACTTCTAGATGCAAGACGAGCGACAAAAGTACTGAAAGCGAAGTGTTGGTAATATAGATAATGCATTCATTCCAGCTCATTCTGTATTTGTGCAAGAAGCAATGGATGAACAATAGATTACACTGTAATTTTTATCTTGCAGTACTAATTAGTCCCTTTTAAGCAAAAGCTAATGCATGAATAAAACATTACATAATATTTATTGTTTTGTAGTTTTAATAAGTCACTATAACTACATTATATATACTGAAGCAACTGAAATAGGTTATCTTTCTGGTGTGGTTTATAAAGGTCTTTTACAGTGCCTAAAGGTGTCCCAATAGATACTAGTAGGAACCTGTACCAGAGAGCTTCACATTAATTCCTTGTGCCCTTATGCCAAGCAAAGCATGGCATACGTTTATTTTACCAAATGCTTGATTCAAGAGCACACCCTGTATTTACAGTCTTTCTTGCATGCTCAGCAGCAGAACATTAAAACTGTTAAGCAGCATAGTTTTGATGATGTTTGTAATTCGTACACCTGGAAGAGAAGTGCAAAAGCACACCACTTTTTGTATTTTAGTTTGTCAAAATAAACATCAGAAGATCCCACGAAGCTTGCGAATCGATGTTATGCGAAACATGCGGATGGAACCTGACTGTGTTGTAATTTGTTTATTCTGCGACATGTTAATAAATGGTGCTATGATATATATAAATGCACGTGCAAACATACGTTGAACAGCCACATACATTTTATATAACCCGTTATTTAGGGTTGCATAACGATGTCAATAGCAACATGGATATGAGGAACACCAGGAGCGATAAGCTGATATGAAGCACCGGAGCTCGTGAGGATGGTAGCAATGGACACTTCTACACAAAACAACTTCCAGTGGATGGTGTCTATTTTCAATTGACACTAACCCGACGTGATGGCTTTCTCATAATAATGTAATGTAATGTTCATAAACATAAACAGCCACAGATGCCGTTTCACAAGCATTAGGGTCCACCTGAAAAGCAGTTCAGAGACACAGAATGCTGGGGTTCGCTTACTATGGGGGCCCTGACATTCTTTGCACTCATGGAGTCAACGCTGAGAATGTCAGCTTTTTCTTACAGCTCACGTGTTAAAATTACCCATGTCTGTGGCACATACCCGCACGTGGGTATATGCCACATATCTGGCAGAAAAAGTTTGATGACATATGTGGCGGGATCCTGATAATATTCATGTCATGACCAGCGAGTCGTATTCATCACACCATCTTACCCTTCCATACTAATTTTGGTTTACCCAAAGTTAAGCGGGAGATCACGAGAGCACCCAGACGTAGGCCGATGGATGGATCATTAGATAGATATAGATAGATATAGATATACAGGCAGACAGACACACAGACTCAATGTGCCTGCAATATGCAAAGAAATGTTTTGCATTTAATATGACCGACAAAGGCACTGCATGATAAACCAATCGTTCAGTGATGCTACCGCGAACTTCTGATAAATCACAAATTTCACAGCAGCAGAATTTTTATTTTAGAGCACTTTGGAGAAGGTAATATTGCATTACGAAGCACTTTGGAGCTGCTAACGTCCGAGAAGCAAGCAGCAGTTTCGCACTAAAAGACCTGAGTAAGAGTATAGAGCTCTTGAGAAAAGCGAAGAAGAGCAAAACAAATATTTAGATGCACTGCAGGTTTCACAGCAAATGTTCTTCGGAGCACTAGAAAATCTTTAACTCGCTAGTACATAAAAAAAAAGGGGGGGGGGGGGCATCATAGAATAGGGTATTGTGCAAAATCCCCTTTCATCAATTTTTGGACAGAAGCAAATAACCAATGCTGTATAAATAAAATTATAGTTTATAGAATAACATTCTAAATACAATTTTATGGTTATCAATATGCAGGGCTCCTGCACAAAACTTTGGTGTTGATGTTAATAAAATATAGCATGAATGCCACAACATAAAATGATGTCTTGATGCCTAGCCACATGTCCAAATTTCGAAACAAAGAGAATCGCTATTCTGATGGCTTGGTGAGCAGGAAGTAGAAATATGCGTATAGAATTGTGCGGAGAAACATAAAACAATTCAGGCATCGGTACAAGTAGACACACTCACTCATGAGTCAACTCACTTGAAGGACTCAGATAGGGCCGCGAGTCCGAGCGAGTCGGGGCGAGGGAAATATTAGTGAGTGCGAGTCCGAGTGAGTTTCGTTGAGCCATATACTGGCAAGTCCATGTCTAAGTGGGTCCTAAGCGCAAAATATATTTATTAGGCGAGTTTCAGTGAGCTCCACCTTTTACTGCTGACCTTTTGTCCTGTGTAGTCACCTTCAGCATTACTATCAACCTTATCTCCTTATGTTTATACTCAAGCCTATTCACACACATCTCGACCCACCATAGCTCATATGCCACCTCAATATTTATCGATCAGTAGTGTGAGTTAGGGGTGGTGGTGCCATTACCACCCCTCCTGACTATTTAACAGGAAGTTCCTGACAAAAACTGTTGTGCTCCTCATGTATTCTATTAAAATGCCCTTACTGTATTAAAGCTATTGATAACTAGTATTTGAAGGTACAAGATAAAAAGACACATCGTAAAGCACCAATTATGTGAGATATCGGCATTAAAGAGCATTGACACCGTGATAAAAAAAGCTGATTGTGCAATAACAGACTCATGTACAGAGCCGTCCACTTCTGCCTTGAAACACCGCACTGTGCGGCCGGTGCTCTGCGAAGTGCTTCGCCAGGATACTTCGGAAACTAGCATACAAGCGCAATGAAAGCTGTGGGCAGGTTCTTCGCTGCGTTGTCTGCTATAGAGCGCGGCGGCTCGACCAAATTGCGCCTGCTTTGCGGTGAAGCAAGACAATTGCTGCCTGTTGCATGTCTCTTATAGAAGGGTTCAACTGCAAGGGAAAAAAATGCCTGACATATGAACTTTTCACGCCTCTAATATAAAGTCTTGGACGTGGTATGAAACACCACTGACTATGGTCAGTTCAATGCACCAAGGTAATTTGGTTCAGTGACGATACAATATGTTCTTTGCCTTTTGTGTCGTGTAAGCTTGTGATGCCTCATGGCCAAAGTAATGCAGTTTCCATATGCATCAACGGTATCTCTCCAATGCCTGCAACGTCGAGTGTGATAGCACTGACTAATAACACAGTTGCAATAAGCGGCACGGTAAGGCAAATACATCAATGAGAGAATGTGGTACAGTGAATGCTTTGGTGCAACAAGAGACATGTCAACACAAAACAAAATGCCTTTTCGTGCTCCCGTCTAAAGCTGCCAACTGTGCCTCTCACCTTCCTGAAGTGCCTTGTGGTATGGGCTATTCTCTGCAAGACATCTGGGAGCCGCCATCTTGGGCTCTTAAGGCGATGTTTTCTTGTTTTTTTAAGTCGCAACGTGGCTAATAAGGCCATGAAACATTGTATGAACCATCCCAGCTATTTTCATGCATATGCGTTCATCGTAACACTGTTTGCTTAGTTCTTAAAGATATTAAACGCAAAGGTTAACTGCACAACATGGCGGCACGTAAACCCGTCTGTAAAATATATGCATGAGCACAGTTAACCTATCAATAGATGCGCAACCCTTAGCATTTCTTCGACAAATGACGATGCTTTGGATGAGCACATACCAAGTACCAATGTTTGCTATGTGCTTGTTAATATCAATCACATCTTCGTGCAGAATTCACCATTTGCTTTGTCAAGGCATATGTTTACTTCAGCTACAACAATGGTGTTGAATCACAATCATGGAAATTAGTTGTCAGGATGCAGTTGTGCCACTAAGCATCAACCGAGGTGCATTCACATCATGCATTGCTATAGCTGTCAAACACAGATAGTCACTGTTCGAGCTCCCTATACATGAACATACAACCCCCTGTCAGAGATTTTTTCTATATATATGCACATGTTACTCATGTACACACAAACATAAAAAGAGGGTCAGGCGAACCTCTCCCCCTCCTTAATGAAACAAAACAGTGGATATCATCCTGCACTCCCATTTGATCATCACCAATTGGCCTTGAAATCACGTGCATCTGCGGAGAGTGTGTCTTGCTGTCACATTGATTAGCAAGACAGAAGCTGCGCTGGCACCATGTATGGCATCGTGGCTTGATCAGGACACATGCGCAAGCGCTGTTTCATCTCCTAAATAATTCTTGGTCCAATTTGTGGCTCTATGGTGGCCACATATCAGACTGCACATTTTTTGCCACCAGTGTTGCAAGTTATAAATGGCATCAAATCCGCGGCTTCATCTGGGGCAATATTAATAACCATGGCACAGTAAATGCCATTTTGTGCATTTAGCGAAGTAAGCCAGTAGTGTAAACACTAAATAAATGAACAAGATATGACCCATTTACCCTCCATGCGAAGTCTAAAAAATCCTAGAAGTACTGCTGGAACTGGCGAGGAACATTGCAATGAGAAATCACCTGGTTCTAATGACAAGCACCAAATGGGCCCTGCAGCCCTTTTCTGTTTCAATGGAATAT